CAACGTCGTAGTTCATCCGTATGCATACAAGGCGTCGAATCTGGTGTCCGAGAGTACCCTTCTTCCAGAAACATGTCCAGAGGCATGGCAGAAGCGTGGTAGAAGCGTCTTCAAGATTTTGCCTGCGAAAGGCGTGGCTATATGGACGACTTGAGTCGTGTCAATGCATCGAGTCACATCAATCATTGGCGTCTCCTTCACTCATCAGATGCCCCCGTCAGAGCAGATTGCGACTCTAGTCGCTTTCATTTCGCCATCCTCGTGTCTGCAGACCATGTTGTGTGTATTGACCACGCCCATTGTGTTCACCTCGTGCGTGTGGCACATTGCTATTTAGGCGTATGACCGCCTGTACAGAACGCGCAATAACACTCCCCGCCATGTCCTCCACTCCTCCATCCCCGCAAGCGTTAAATCAGCATCTTCAAGGGGAACCAAGCACAATCACCCAGAAGGCGCAAGCTGAGGGTCGGGCGGCATGCACCCACAATCGTGAAGGAAGGATCATAGTGATCAGCGCTGACGGGACGGCGAATAAGTTTGGAGAGAAGGCGAGTCATCTCGCGATACATGGATTCAAATGTTAACTAGTTCATCCCAGAATACCAATGTCGTCGAGTTCAATAGTCGCATTGTCAGAAACGACGACCAAATCACCTTCTACATCAGCACATCGGAACACACACTACGTCGACTATAGGCCGTATCTTCGACATGGCATTTGCAAAGTGAGCTTCTGACTCTGATACTATACCGCACTCCTCACCCATTACTCAATAGTTCATTTAAAGTCAACTTACTCATAGCATACAAGTGGCTAGCGGATACTTACAGACCAGGGGACCGAATATTCCTTTTCGGTAAGCTCTGAGTGCGAGTAACAAATATGTCGCTAAGCATACTACAGGCTTCTCTTACGCGTCATAGCGGGAATGATTGCGCGGGTAAGACATATAAGTTTGCCTAATTTAAATCTCACCGATGCCATAGGTTGGACTAATCTACTCCGGCAATACTACTCAACTCCCAGAGTACGTACTTCCCCTGGTTCAAGACCTAGATATGACCTATACCCACTACAGCGTATTCAAGCTTTATATGTCGACGACAGAGCGGCAGAAGACGAAGAAGTATACGGAAGCGATGGATTTGTGCGATACATTCAAATCAGCCTTAACGTGAAAGTCCATTTTGTGGGTGTCTGGTGAGCACATTCTCCAATTCAAACCCATAAGCGATCACTAAATGTGCGGTGTGACTAGGGATACTGTCTCATCTGTTGGTATCACCAGGGGTGCCAGCTTTCCAGAGACAGTCAACGGAATGGCCCATGTATGCCACTTCCGCCATGCTCTTACTCTTGATGAGCGACGTGTCAAATTTTGGCCAGAACATGCGTCATCAGAGGAGTCCATTACTACATCTTCTGAAGGCGATGTTAAGGAAGTATGGTTTGCCGGGTGCCATTCCGATATGTGAGCCTTGTACCGCTTCATTTCTCGAGATAATGTAATTTACCAGTACCAAAAAGAGGCGGTGGTAGTGTGAAGAATCGGACTCTTAAGCAATTTGGGCCCGCTCTACAGTGGATGACATATGAAGCAATGAAACACGGCCTTCAAATGACTCCATACACCGGAGAATGGACGACTCATCCCCCAACGAACTCACTTAACTGGTTATGGTCCATTGTGGAATTATTACAGATTCGTCGCCCCTCGTCTAAACTAACGCAAATTACCTGGTGGTGGGTCTGTCTATTATAAAAATACCGATGTTAAGTTGACAGTGTAAACTTGAAGGCCACATCTTGGTGCTCCCCGATATATCCAAGATGGGCAGTAGCGCTGTGCTCCGGGCGAGGATGTGTGTATGCGGGTTCTATGAGTTCTTATCACGGTAATATCATGGTAACTCAGTACGCGTCGGAGGGGTATTGTCTCGTAACGTTTTCGGTCTCGAAATACTGCCCCCGCTCGCTGCGGTTCGACTATCTGAGGGCCAGACCCTATGCGGTGCACCATGCCCCCTATGATTGAGGCCTCAAACCGGGACGACGAAGAAACAACTCACCCGCCTGATGACTATCTCAAAACATGGTCTTTTTCTTTTCTGCTCTCCTCTCGCCTCGCCTCATTGACAGATTTTCGCCGTTCATCTGTGGCCTGCACACTTCAGCGTATTTGAGCGCATTGACCTCGTCTGATCTATCTCTTCCTTCTCGAATACACTGCTACGACTCAGCTACAGAAAACCGCGACAACCAAATTGAAGACTTACCAGTAGATGGCCTTGGTAAAGAGGCCACTAAATTTACAGAAAACGCTGAGCCGCCTCCGCGATCGCAAAACAGAGGCGCCTGTAAGTAACAGGTAAGATTCTCGGACACTCTGCATGAGGAGTAGCGACTACGCTGGGTTTCAAGGTTCGGAGTCGTTCAACTTTGGACGGAGGAAGAGTTAGGCGCTTCAAAAAGCTGGGTGAGCCGGTCCGGTCACAAATGTCACGGCCCGTTCCATCTCGAACTTGCATTCACGCAGCTTGATCTGTTCTCTATGCTAGCACAGGTCCGATCTTCACCACCATCCGTGCAGCGTGCTTGTGTACGCTCAGAACTCACGACCAACTGATCTACGAATACGGGTGATGGTAGTACCTGACGTACTTACGTCTTTTGGTACGTTGTCGTTCTTTTTTCGTTGATGTCGGTGCTGATTATGATACTTATCGCTTACAGCTTATGAACTCTGAACCACAGATGTCACATTGCGTGGTTTTCTGAGGTGATTCTATGATGGATGCTGTGATAGAGGTGCGAGATGCTTCAGCGACAGGTGAGTTTAGTTTCACTCCACGCAACAATGAACGCTTCAGTTTTCAGTTTCAGTTTATCTGGTCTGCAGGATCCCAATCCCAACGAGCTCCAGAGCGCCACCGTCTGCACGTACGCATACCCAAAGACACCATGTCCGGTTTCAACGAGTGCTTTAATCTTCACTCTATACCTACGGCTGAACTGCGCGACAGGACCCCACGATGAGTTGAGTGACTTCGAGTGCGAGGACCTGAGTTCTGATTTGCCCCTCTTCAGATCAATTTGGGTAGTCCGTAGTAGTCTGAACCTCAACAGCGATGCCTAATGATGAAAATGGTGTCTTCGGAGTACGAAGGGATAAAGCAAGGCAGCTTTCACCGTCGTGAGGGCTTTCTCAGTGTTTGGTGAGTCTGAATACAGGTTTCTACGCGACGCTGGCCTCAAGCTCAGCCAAGACCTTGTCCGCAGACGCGGATCGCTCTGCATATCCTCCAAACGGCGCTGCCAGTCTACGGAGGCCATAGACGTGCGTTGGGGGACGGTTGAGACGCCTGCGCGATGGATTTCTGTGAGGTCGTCTAAACCAAGGAATTATATTTCGCTCTGTATTCTCCTGCTATGTTCAGCGAAGCTCCAGGTGAGTTAGTGTGTTTTCCTTCTGCCCGGGGCCTTACTGACTCTCGCAATCTCAACAGATTATATACTAGTTGGACTTCGAGGTAAGTTGGCCATTTCCTTGGTTGAGTATGTCGTGATGGTTATTGATGCAAGCTTTCTATTTCCCCGCAGATCCACTGATCATCGCGCTGTGGACCTGCTGGCTAGCGGGCATTCCAGGCAGAGTCTGAAGCAAGTTCTAAGTTGAGCGAGTTTCGAAGCAGCATAAGGTGGGAAGGTTTTGTGCTTGCTGACAGCTCAACGAGTCACTGAGGCCCCTGCCATGTCTTTTTGCAGACTCCCTCTAGTTGACAAGCGGTCGAAGATCCTTCCAAGGGCGTTTGACGAGCCCCTGCTTCGTTGTCTTTTGAATATGATGCTACAGCAAGTACTTCGCGCTTTCTGGATGAGTTTTGAGTTTTAGTCGCTAATTAGTTTTCTCGGTAAAGCTACATGGAAGCCCTCGTGTATTCCACGCTGCTACTTCCATGTGTCTCTTGCGCTGCCAACAACGCGGCACATTAATATCCCCGACATCAGCAGGATGGACATACTTTCACCTACAGTAGTGAATTCGTGGTTACATGTAGCGTCTTTCCTCTCCTTTGTTTTTATTTTTATTTAACCCGTGTCTCGTCTCATATCACCCATGGTCTTATTTTCTGCAGTCTTGCTACAGATGGGCTGCTCCGCATCCTCGTGGCTCATATGCTTAGGAGACAGGCAGGTGCATACTTTTTCGTTCGCTCTAGTTGTTGTTCATTCGCGCATTCAAGGCGGCATAATCCGTGGTTGAAGCCCGCCGCAGTGCAGTGTAATGAGCAGTCGTTTGCCGATCCCATGATCTGCCGTGGTCTGATCTCGCGTATATACATTTCAGGTCTACACGTACTCGATACTCGGCACTCTGGTGTTGTATATGCCTGCAGCACATCTAATGTGACTTATTTCCGACTTTCCTGCAGGCGGCGTATAGGATTTCACCCACCTCAACCGGATTATTGTTCGCAACGCAAGATACTGCTCCGGTAAACGTCGTAAGATTTGAAGAAGTAATTCCACGTTGAGACTTCAGATCAGTGACCGACTGACGGCACAATGAATGTTGACAAAATAGTGAATTTGTGTGTAGCATCATGAACTTCGTCGATTGGCTAGACTGAGCGCAGTTGATCTTGCTATAGATACAATCAACTTGGGGTCATCTTCGCCATGAGCACTGTTTTAGTGGATGAGGGACGAGAGGTGGACTCTGCTGAGTGAACCTTCAAATGGCACTAGGCGCTCCCTTCTGTTTTCTATTCAGTGCGCTACTAACCCTTGTACGACTCATTTCTCAGTGCCCAGATCCCAACCTCACCTGGCCATGCTGCCTGTAGGAGTTGAATAACTTGCGGTTTAAAGTGGAGGTATTTACATGTGTCTGTCGACGCCGCGAAGGAGCACTGATTGTCATATGAAAGGGACTCAAATTGAAGAAAATCTACTCGTTGATATATGACATAGCTCAGTACTTGGTGAAGCGAATCTACAGTAATACATCAGCATTCCAGATATCAATTTTTCCCTTGTCTGAACCTGTCACAATCTTTTTGCCATCAAATGAAAAAGCAATAGACTCTATATCCTCTCCAACGTTGTAGATCACCAACGCCATGTTGGATGAATCACCCCACAGACGAGCAGTGCCATCCGCAGATACTGAGATGATGAACTTGAAGTCTGTTGAAAAGGCCATGCAAGAGACTGGGTAAGTGTGTCCTTCCAACTCCCTCACCAAATCACCGGAATTGGCATTCCATACTCGAATCTTCGAGTCGTTCGAGGCAGAGAGAATATGATCCCTTGACACTGCTACAGAGCCAACCATCTGACCCCATTCAAACACCTCGGACCTCCCTACTTCATCCCACTCCCTAGTAGCATCATTAGACCCGGATGCAAACCAACTTCCATCAGGGGAGAAGCTCAATTGCCTCACAAACGAAGTGTGCCCCATTTTGAAGAATAGACATTGACCTGTTTGTGTGCTCCATAGCCGAATGTTTCCCCGCAGTGATCCTGCTGCAATCTTCTTGCCGTCTGGCGAGAAAGCCAAAGACCAGCTGTAGTCTAGCAGCTGGGAGTAACTTCGCAATGTCCTCTCCACCTCCCCTGTCTTGGTATCCCATATATCAACATCTCCTCTGAGATCGCTTGTTGCAAATTTCGATCCATCTGCTTGAAAAGAAACACTTGCTTGATAATCAAAGTGAATTGATTGTATTGGTGCCTCGTGCTGATTCTGAATCACCACTTGTTCTGGTGATGCCGATAGAATCATGTCTGTGTCCGGCATAATGACTGATTTAATTTGAGCACCATTGTGCAAGTCGTATGAGGCTTCGCGTAAGTCTTGAAAAGATACCTTAGTACTAAATGCGATAGAAAAATGTGGCCAATCTTACTGCAGTGGCGACGGATAACCTCTGGGTAATGCTTGCGAGCCTTCCGAGCCTTTCGAGCAATATCACGAAATGTAGAGAATGGGAGCTTGTGTTCAGGATGTGGTGCAAGCTCACACAAGACAGAGAGAAGTGTGGTAATCACAATCTTCGGAACATTATCTTGAGTTCTCAAGAAGTTGATTGCTGAAAGGAACTTTGGCAACTCTTGAGGAGCAGGATATTTGTTGATATCTAGATTGTGTAAGTCTACATATCATTGGGGTATAGATTTTGTCATACCTGGTGAGATACTCATTGCCAGCACCCCAACCTCATGCTTCAAGCGCTCTATATCCCTTTCCTTTGTAGCATGATCAATTCCCGAGATAATTGAATCGAGACTTGGAAACACGTCCCACTCAACCAACCCAGAAAGAAGTTGATGATCTCTCCAAGAGACCTTGTTGGGGAGAACTGCAAATGGCACATAACATGGAAGGACAGGGAGTTTTCCACTAGGAGACTCAGTTGCCTCATGTATACCCATGAATTTTAACACAGACTCATGGATGTACTGGCCCTTCTGGATATGACGAGCAGCACCAAGGTGGGGTCTTTAGTCTTTTATGAGATTTAGCTCCAGAGAGGTGATTAAATTTACTCACATCCGTGTAAGTCTGTGACCTTCATCTGAAGGGCGACGCAAGGGCAGGACCTCAAGAATATTCCAGGCTCCTTTGAGGGACTTGGTCACCTCAGGGGTCTCCCATCGACCAATATATGGGCGCATCTGAAGTCCATGCTTCATGGCTTCATAAGTCATCCACCGAAGAGCTGGAGCAAAGGGAGCAAATGTCTTCAATGCTCTGTTTTCAACATTACCCCCACCACTAAGATGTTATTAGCTTGCCTGTTGCTCACATTGAAATCAAAAACCCACATATCGGAATGGCTGCCAGCAAACCACACTTCTTTCACATCACCGCAATGCCTCAATCCAGCATTATCCGATGGTTGGCTATTTGCATGTTCAGGCCAAAACCTGACCCTTCGCTCATCAAGTGCAAGGGCATGGCGGAAGTGGCACACATGTGACATTCCGGTTACAGTTCCGGGAAGACTTGCACCCCTCCTTACTCCGATAGATGACACTGTGTCCCTATACATGCCTGTATAAATATGGGACGGTACATCAAGCTAGTATAGTGGCGTAACACGTACCAGACACCAACAAAATGTACATTGACGCCCGGCTGCGATATTGATCGCTTGAACATCTTGCACAAGTCCTTTGCCTTGGTTTGTTTCATAGTCTCTTCTCTTGATTTCTCCGTCGTTGACATGTAGAGTTTAAATACACTAATCAATAACTTAGTTGCAAGTTGTATATATCTTCATAGGGACGTACGCGGGAAGTTGGGCAATGTAACCTGGGTATATAAGTCCAACCTGCGACAAAATTCAGCATTGAATCATATCAAATGAGATTTATTACCCCTTCAATCATTCCTGCAATAACACGTACTTGGTACGCTCCCCGTGAGAAGCCTGTAAAATTATCTTAATGACTGAAGTAAGAGATGGTGCATGGCTTACCAAACAAGAATATTCTGTCTCCAGGCTCGTATGTCTCTGCCAGCCACTTGTAGGCGATCAGCAGATTCTTTTCGAAGGAACTGTCACAAGTTGTAAAGGTGAAAGTTCTGCGCACACATTTATATTGTACTCACTTCGCAAAAGCCATGTCAAATAGACGGCCTATCTTCGAAGTGGTGTGTGTCCCAATGCCACTGATGTAGAATATTATTTGTCTTCTTGACTTGACAATGCGGCTGAAAAACTCGATTACATTGGTGCCCTAGATGAAATAAATTCGCCATAACAGAATTAATAAAAATACAAGTGCTGAGGCGTGACTGACCTTCACGCCGAATTCATTAGAAGTCCCATCCGCGCAGATGACTATAATTCGTCCTTCGCGCTTGTGAGGGCATGCTACCAGAGTTTCGTTTGAAGCCTTCTGATTGACAGAGCATTCTCCTTGAAGACGTTGATCCATCGTTTCTGAGGGTGGAGGAACTGAAGACATCAATTGATGAGGAAGTGAGAACTTGTGTTTATAACCCCCTCCGTCAGTTCATTCCTGGCACTAACCTTCCCACTCCTTGAATCCGCGATATGGTCAGAGAGTGTTTCCGTAACAAGTAACTTTGACCCAGCTTCGTGTTCATGTAGGATAGGCGGTCATTGTAGAATAATCCTCGGACGGATTGAACCTACATATCTAAAGACTCAAATTGTCAGCCAAATAAAACACTCAACCAGCATCTGTATAATCAGTGTTATCCTTAAAGGAGGCAGTGAGTACACACTCCACTGGGCGGTAGGAACATCATATGTTTGTTCCTGTCGTTCGGCCAACTGACTCCCAGTGCTAGTAATATACTCGAAAACTGTCATGGAAGCTATCGCATCCATTTTCCACATCATCAATCATCAGTTTCGAGTACCACGAGGCAGAATCCATTTAGTGCTCCATACTCGATATCAATGGCTGTATTTCATCAACGGACCTCATGCGATACTTATTTCTTACACGCATCCCAGTAGCCACACCCATCTACACACCCATCAGTCAGTGACCATGACCGATACGACGGCATCCGTGTCTTTTGGGGAGATGGGCCGCGAGTAGGTGCATCAACACACCTTTAGTTATATTTGGGTAACGCCAAGATGCGGGATCTTCTATGAGTTAGTATAGTATCGCAGTGTTGGTTAGGCCGGAAGGCATTGCTTTGTTGTCAAACAAATGTAAGAATACGCCATATTGGTACGGACTTAGGCAGGCGGCATAGCGGGCCATATCCTGGCGCCCTACAGGCAACGTTCCGACACTTTGGATCGAAGGTACCACGTCAAGTAGTGTGAATTGGATGAAGGAACGGTTTCCCAGGGAGAGGAAGAAGGCAGGCGAAATTATAGGATGAGTAATTATGCGACAAATATAAAGCCAGACAAGAAGTTTGTGTGATCGTCTTTCAGAAGACGGCGGGGAATTGCATTTGGGCAGTGCAATTATAGGAAAGACATGATGAGTATAAGCTCAAGTGCACGTAACCACTGACAAGGCAAAATGGACATGATGGTTTGACCACATGCTACACCGCCAGGTAAACAACACATAAATTGCGTACGAGAATTAAGCCCATCGTTTGCGTCGAAGTAACTGTCAACCACCCGGAGCGGCGATGTTTGTACTCTGCACATCTCTCGCGGTATCAAATCAACCCTTTCGACTCTCTGACCCGTTGCTCGCTGGGAGTATACCTCCCGCCCCGTGGTTACAGTGAGTTGCTTTCCAATTCCGGCGCCCCCTCCTCTTCTCACCCTCTCACTGCGCACGCTCACCCGTAAGTCTCCTCCCCGCCAGGCCATCAAGACTTTGCGCTCCTCCACTTGAACGGCCTGCAAATTGGCTTGAGTGGCGCCGAGACACGATATATCGCTCTCCAAGTCTCGGTGGATAGACTGAGGTACTGCGGGACTGCGCGATTGGGTGAGTGGAGACATTTTTTGACTAGGATTTCATTTCTAACTCGTACAAGTACAGCCCGCGCCCTCTGACATCGACGAGTAAGTAAATCCTACCCATCATCTCTCATTCCACGCTCATTCTACTCCAACTTCCTAGCTATAGCCATCCCAATAGATGGCCTCCGTACAGGTCATATCGATCGGTGACTTCACTGAGTTGTCCTTTGAGAATATGAGTGGGTCTGGTCCCCCCGACAAGTGCAGAGAAATTGCAGAATAGCGCAAATATCCCAAACGTCTTCAATGGATCTGCGACGTTCTCCACTTGCTACGGCCCCATCTAGAAAAAGGGAACGCATGTCTCGTGGCAATAGTAACGAGTTACCAAATTGGCCCCAAACGGCTGCTTATCGACGGCGGAAGACTCTAATAGATAGTCGCAGGTGCAAATCTGCTTCCTTTGTTTGGGACTTTATCTTTCGTGTCGTTATCTCGACTCTATCTTTCTCATCATTTACGAGCCTCATGTCATAATCATGGACAGTAATTGATAATCTTCGTAGACTATCACAAAGAAACTGCCTCGAAATATGTGCTCAGTCAAAGAGAACCCGACTCGAATTATCTCAACATTGACGTGTTTTGACCGGCTTCGAAGTAGCAGGGTCCAGTGGTCCGCTATATCTGTGAGTCGAACTGCGGTGTGATAGCGAATATTGTTGAGCCGTGTGTAGAGTCTGATACGGCGTCAACGTACCTTGGATATGTTGGGTCATCATCTGTGGGACCCATCTCCAGAGTGCGGGCCCTTAACACCGCGCAGGCACCATCACGAGTCGTGGATGCGGTTACAGTGTGCTCCGGGCGTGAGGGGAATATGAAGGCGACGGTGTGTGCAGGTTGGAAGAGTCCCTGCGAAGATAAGTCGGTGCGCGACGGAGGGGTACTGTCATGTAACGTACCGTGTCTCGCAGAGCCGTCCCCGCTCGCTGGCGTCCGACTCGTCCTGTCTGGTTGGCCCTCGACGCTGGCTAAGTCGACATTCAATGTTCTTTGCAGGAAGAGGTCACATTACATTCAGTTTTCGGCACAGTAACCAGTTCCCCAGTGTCGCTGTTCGCAGAATGGAGTTGAGGCACGCAAGAGCGGTTGAATCTGACACCAAGTCCTACGACGAATGCACCCTGCCCTCTGTGCTTGAGGTCATGACATCGAGATGACGAATAAAATACTCACGGACCTGATGACTGCCTCAGAAGAATTTCCGTTTTCTTTCCTTTTCTCGCCTCCCCCCATCATACTAAATTTCCGCCGTTAATCTATAGGCTGCGCACTTCAGCGTGTCTAGACGCACCCACATCGTCTCTCTCTTTCGTCCTGGACTGCACTCATACGACTCAAGTACAGGACCTCGCGACAAGCGGATTGAAGACCTACCAGTACACGAGCCTTCGTAATGAGGCCACCTTCCACCATGATGGGAAGATTGTGATGAGGAGACGTCTGAGTAGATTCTGTGAGGATCTTTGTAAAAACACCCCGAGGCTACGACGACTAGCGACTCCGCTGAAGAGGTTCGGTTTGAAACGTTATTGAAGCAACGCGTAGGCGCTTCAAGCCCGGTCCGGTCAACCCTGTCACGGCCCGTTCCATTCACTCCGACTTGTCGCGAACCAACTTGCAAATCTCTGAATGCACGCACACGGAGCCGATCTTCACCACCATGCGTGCAGCGCAAATTATCTCGCAATAAATGTGCCGCCAACTGACCAACGAATACGGGTGGTGGCAATACTTGACGTACGGTAGTAGGTACGTCGTCGTCCTTTTTTTGCTAGTGTCGGTGCTGATATGATGTCGTTTACAGCTTATTGTCTGCGTCATAGACGACCCATTGTGTTGTTCCTTGAGGTCATGCAACGAGGCAGTCTGTGATAGAGGTGCTGGTAAGTTTCGTTTCTTCACTCCACTCAACGACGAACGCTTCAGTTCACCAGGTCTGCCCCAATCCCAACGAGATCTACTGCGTCACTGTCTGCACGTAAGCGTACGCAAGGACACCGCGCGGGATGTCAACGAGAGCCTCAATCCTTGCCCTATACATACGGCTGAACGGCTGAACGGCGCGATGGGACCCCGCGTTGAGGTACGTAGACATCGGTTGAGTGACTTAAGGTGCGCGCTGATTTGTTTCCTCGCAGATCAATCTGGGCATTCCGTAATCTGAGCCTCGAGAGTGATCTTAATGATGTGAATAATGCTGTAGCGAGCACGAATAGGTGGATCAAGGGAGACTTTCGAGTTTGAACCGCTATGAGGGTTTTCTCAGCGTTTGGTGAGCCTGATTCCAAATTTCTACCCAACGACGGTCTAACCGTCAGCTAATATCGTGTCCGCAGACGCTCATTGCTCTTCTTAGCCCCCAAATAGCGATGCCGTTCTACAGAGCTGACTGGGCGCGCCTTGGGGGACGGTCGCGCGGTGGCCTTTCGTGAAGTTCGTGGCGTTTCTGCCTGTACTTCAGCCACGGAGTAATCACGGCGGAGTCCTGACCCGTTTTGCCCGTTGGTCTACATAACGTTACGAGATCATCGACACAGCTACAGGCGAGTATGTGTGTTTCCCTTCTACGCAGCCCTTTACCGACGCTTGCTTGGCATCCACAGACGTGCGATATTCTTCGTGACCTACACCCCGGCGTACAAACACGTATGCAGCCGGGTGCGGCGTCACGAGGCTTGGAAAAGCTAGCTACATCACTGTAAGACTCTGTGGTGTCTTCCAACGTGGTAAGGACGTCGGCCGTTTCCTCTGCTATTTTGAGGATGGTGATTGATGTGATCTTTACATTTCCCCGCAGATCTACTGACCATCACGCTGTTGACCTACCGGCTAGCGGGAATTCCAGAGATTGGGCCAGGTCCTGTATTTGCAGGGTTTCAAAGAATCATCAATGAGTAATTTCCTTTTCACTTTCGGCTCAACCAGTGCCATGTCTGCAGAGTCCCTCTGCATAATAAGCCTGGATCCGGCAAAAGGCGCTCAACGAGCACTTGCTTCGCCGCTTTGCAAATACGATGCTACACAAGGTATGTCGGTTTCCTGGATGAGTTTGAGTATGATTCATTCTGTCCACTACAAGGCCACCATCGACTCCTGTATCTGCAATGGCTTAACGCCTCTTTTCTCCCCTTTTGTCTCCCATGGGTGATACGTCTGATTCAAGCTTCGGGTGCTTACTGCTGCTGATGAAATTTTTTCTCAGGTTGAATGGCCATGCAGTTGTGTAACGGCGGCACGGGGATTCACGAGACATCTAAGCATCTAACTTTCTCCCATTCTCATAGCTCTAGCCAGGTGGTGGACTTTCATTCACTGTTGTTAGTGATGTCGGGGTGTAAATCGGATAGAAGACGATTTAACATGAGGTCGCTCGGCGACATCAGAAGCGGCGGGTTCGGTTCGCATATACGAAGCGTAGTGTGGCAAAACCTTGCAGTACATCCAATCTGACTCATTTTATCATTCCCGCGGCCGAAGTAGACCTCTTACCAGCCCTTATCGACCGACTGTGCTTGAAGTACTCTACTCAAAATACGGCTCCGTTTTATGACACCGACGAGTGGTAAGATTAGAAGACAGTGATTCCATAATATGTTGAAACATCAGTGCAGCTAGGGACAGGATCTCGAAAGACGGAACAATGATAAGGCCAACGATATGAATTTGCGGGCAGCAGTGTGAATAGCGTCGATTGGCTAGAGGAGATTGGCTGTGCACAGACCCTCCTAGCTGTCATATGTCAGCCTGTGCACGGACCTCTTTGCGTTGGTTGAAAACCAAACAAGGTAGTCCCCCTCCCCCTGCTTCCTCTCTCCTTCGTCGTTGCCGCCGTGCTCATCCCGGGACGAGATCGTAAGGCGAGTCTCCACAGTGAAAATAGCAGAACTGGACGGAGGAATTCTACGGCATATTTTTTCTTTGAAAGCTGGTACGTGGCCTTTTCTCTTGCATTTCCCTCGAATTCGACGACGTCTTCTGGGTATTGGCCGCCTCGTTCATCTACCTCCTCCTCCTCGACCTCCCCCATATCGACGGTGTTGTCTTTCGCCGACGAGTAGTCTTGATGAGAAGAGTTCTCCATTACCACCTGCATCCCGCCGCCCGAACGTAATGCGACCCCGCCCTTCTCGTAAAGGCCGCCAGCGCCCCGCCACATCTTCAATATGCTACGCGCCAGTACGTCCTCTCTCTTTTTCTGTTTGCGTGGTGTGAGTCTTCATTTCAACCGCCGTTGGCTTCTTCTGCCCGCTTTGTCGCCACACACGGTGTCACTCTCCCGCCATCTTCTCCTCGTATCAGGGCCAGTCAGGCCATTCGTAGACGCTCCGAGTACGCTGTAGATGACCCTCTCCTCCTCCTTCTTCGACGCCTGCTCCCCCATGTCTCTTGCACCGACAACCTGTGTTATTCTGCGTCGCGCCTCTAGTAAATAGAAGCTTCGTCCATGCCGCGTTTAGTACGCATATAGCCCCCCTTTTCGCGTCTCTCGCTGGCTCCTTGCTGTCTGATTCCAGACGTCGACCTTCAAAATGGTGAGCCTCCCCGTCCAATGTCCCCTCCAGCGCCACATCCCCCCCACATTCCTGGGCTCCTGGTACGTGTTCCTTCCTAGACACCTCATCGGTATTCAACGGTACGCATATGCGCACCTTACTCGTCGCCCTACTCTCGGTTCCCTTTCCATTCTCAATCTACCGTTCCTCGCCGTCATGATCGATTCGACAACTCCTGCCGTTGCAGCACGATGCATTGCGATGTCGAGTCCCAGACTCCTTGGGGAATCTCCGGCTTTTCCCGCGGTGCGACGCTCTCTTCCGTGTTCTCCCCGTGCCTCCCAGGTTCTTCACCCGTCCTAGTCCCTGTATTATATTTTTCACCCGTCAACAGCGCTCGGCGCTAGCCCTTTGGATCGCTCTCATATGTAGCTCCTCCCCTCCTCTCGGAGTTCGTCTGTCGATATCTGGCGCATGTTACCCATATACACTCCTTTCGGGTTTGTATTTGACTCTATGTTTCTCAAGCCCCAGACATGAGGCTCTACCGATAACCCCTCGTTATTCTCCCCTCAGCATCGCGCCATTACGACGCCTACACTATTCTCCTCGTTGAAACGCGGGTGTACCTTCATAGAGTACTCCCCACTATCTCCGTATTCGCCCATCGTGTGGTACCAGGGAGTACTGGAGTGTGAATATTGGAGCTTGCATATTATCGCCTCAGTAGCTAAACATTCGAGCCTTTGGAAGAGTCACCGAGTGATCGCGGTGATACCATTTCCGAAATTTAAGGTCCTCGAGGCGTCGTCTTGCGCTGTGATCGTTGAGTCAACGTCTGTCGTGCTTGGCGAGTAACTACGAAGGCAACGGTGCATGCAATATGTATGGATGAATCGAACAAGCGAAGACTCCTGGTCACATTTGGTGGTACCAGAGGATGTAGGTGTAACGGAGGCGGAGTGGGCTGGGCTCACGCCGCGTAAGCTTGGGCGTAGTACGTGGATCGTATGGTATGGAGGATAAATCAAGGTTAGAAAAAAGGAAATATATGGTACTGCAGAAAAGCAGGTATGCGTGCTCCTAGAATAGTAACTCCATTGTGACAATGGTACGTGCAGACATAAAGATGGGGAAAGAAGATCCAATGAACCAATTATCCAGTTTGGTAAGGCCGGCACGGGATGTTTAGCAAGCGAGGCGAGGAGATGGTGCAGCGTTGGCCAAAAGCAAGAGTAGGTCTTTGTGCACATCGCCAGGACGAATACTACGACTGCTGCCATGGTATAGAGTTGTCGCTGACTGTGTCCATTGGCTTGTCCTCCCTTCTGCGAACGAAAAGAGCGAACAGAAGACGGCTGATCAATGACGCGTCACGATCCCCGACTTCACTCGCCTCTTGTTGATGCCTCACTGCCCTCGCGTCGTGTGGGTTTGCCATCCAGTCAAGAAGGCCGTATCGTCAAAGCACGAGCATCTCCTTTCACCATGCGTCCAGCTCCCGTAGCACGGTATAGTCCATATATTTGCAGGCACTTTAAGAGGAAGGAGGCGTTTGTGCGCGGAAGAGAAACATGAGGATCATATGTGCTGAAGGCGGGAGTGCAGAATGGCGCGTGGCGGGGTGTCATCGAGAGGCGCAAAGGTTGGTGAAAACGCCAACACAGCTTGGGAGACTTGGAGTAGCTGAGACTCGTGTTCGTGACGAATACGGCTGGGCGAGGGGTGCCACAGTGCAGGAGCGAGGTGCAGAGGAACGTGTAGGCGCTTGCAAAAGACTGATGGCGTAGCGGAGCGCTGGCGCCCTCTGCGAGAAGGGACGGGATGCAGCAGGATAAATTCTCAGCAAAGGATGGCCGGCGGTATAGGCCTTCCCCATGATGTTGTGGCGACAATATGCTTTGTTTTCCTCGGGGCAAGGCGACTCGTGTTTGTCAATAATGCGTTGGCTAAAAGCTGAGTAGGTGCCTCGTGCTGGCGGCGAATGCGAACGATACAGCATATACAAACGTCGGCGTGGCTTCAGTGTCCATCGCTTCTTTCTGCGAACGTGTAAGGGTCATAGAACACGGCGCACTCGACCTGGGGAGACGCGTCCCTCCCTTTTAGAACCACCACAGCAATACGCGCATCCCATGGAAGGAAAGCCATGTTCGTGCCTAGTGCAAGTTTGGCGGACGAGCGTGTTATCACGTGGTTCATTCTGCGGCTCCCTACAAGGAACCCAGCAGACGTGCCACAGGAGTGGGACACAATGCGGCGGCTAAGGGACACCACTGGTTCGCCTCTAACGACATCTCCTGGCACTGCTGATGCTGCGCGATTTAGATATCTCGACGCCTGCATGGCCTCCCCGTATCCGTCGTCAGATTCGCCGGGCCTCCCATAACACGCTGCGAGAAAAGTTGAGTCGTCTCGGTGATCTTGGCACGTGGTAAGAGACAAGGCGAGAGTCGCGAGGAGAAGGAGAGCGCAGTTCAAGGGAGTAGTGCATCACCCTCACGATGGAGTTCCGCCACATCTGCTCGCGCCAGGGCCACGAGATCGAAGAGCCTCTAAGAGGATTGAGCTACACAGAGGTGCGACGTGAGCAGATGAATGAAGTGGGTATTCGAATGCTCTGTGGCAAGGTCTGCTGTCCTGCGTGCCGACAGGCGAAAGTAGGCGTTGATATGGAGATGAACAAATGTGAAAAGCGAGCATAGCGAAAAGAAACACGGGAATTAATGCGTGCAGAAACGCGTGAACGAGGAGGATGGCCGATTGATCTCGTAGAGTGACGACCGTGCAAGATTCGCGATCCTACCATGGTAGGTCTACCAGTGATGCCATAGATAGCGACCAGTGCAAGTGCAGAGTGGTGCAGCATCAGTGAGAGCTGTTGAGATGTCGAAATCAGGATACAGTGGGTGAGAGAGCGAGACGGCTCACGTTCTAGATGGGCTACTACCGAAGGTCTTGATAGTTAACTAGAGCTATGCACCACATTTCACGAGGAGTAGGCGGTGTTTTGACCGGTGTACACCCATTCATCTCGCTCGTGATTTATCGGCATTTGCGGTGGGCGAGAGGGTGCATGCGAAAGGTAGAGAGCGATGGCCTCGACAATTATTGGCTGAGGGCGAGAGATGGGAGTTGGCCCATTGCGCTGGGTGTGACAATCAAGCATGGATTCGGGTATAGTAGCAGAAGAAAGAGAACAAACTGCAGAGAATTTCCCAGCACTGGGAAGTCTTCGAAGTTTGAACGGGCATGAGGAGGGCATTCACGTTTGACGTTGATGAACGGTCGGAGAACATGATAGCGTCAGTATCCGATCACGAACGTGGTGATGCATGCGTACATCTGCTAGATTGAATGACGATGTGGGAGGAAAAGGTGCGGTTCGTAGAGGCGTCCAAAAGGCGAAGCCTCGAGGTGAATGCGTGTCATGCTGTATACACGAGGCTTCTTTGGCGCCTTGGAGACACGATGAAGGTGATGCGTAAGTTTTCGGGGTAGAGTAGTAGTATAGTGAGACCGTTGGGGGTACTTGGCATGCGAGATCGAAACACACGTACCCCAGATTACCAACCCCGCTATTTTGAATCTTGTGGTCCGACGCGCGCAATAGTGCATGCTAGGATCTGATATGAGTGGAATTGGAATATGTACGACTTATGGGTCCATTGAGGCTGTGGTTGAAAAGAAGCCGACGCCACAGAGCGTCACACATGTGCATGCCTTAAAGTACCGGAGTGCGAATCTAGCGCTCAACCAAGGTCTCACATGTTCGAAGCAACATGTTTCGACGTCATCCACGAGGCGCTCAAGCTCATAGTGACTGCAAAAAAATGAACAACTCTGGCGTCGCTGAGAGTACCCTTCTGCAAGAACAATGTCCAGAATCAGGAAAAGGCGTGGATATTTAGACGACTCCATTCCTATCAATGCATCGTGCCATGTCACATCAATGATGCGACGTGCGCAACCTTGTAATTCTCGCTACACTCATTTCGTTCCCCTACTCGTGTCTGCAGAACATGCTATGTCTATCAACTATGTTCATCATGGACACCTCGCGCATACGGCGCGTCATTCTTTAGCTGTATTAAAACCTGTAGGACTCATGTAATGATATTCAACCGTCCATGTCCTCTACTCCCCCATCCTCACCATCGTCAGATCAGCGACTTCAAGGCGAACCGAGCGAAATCACCCAGAAGGCGCCAACTCAAATTCGAGCAACATGTACTCACAATCGTGAAGGAAGGATCATAGTGCTCAGCGCGGACGGGACAGCGAATAAATTTGGAGAGAAGGTGGGCGCCACCCAATGGACCATTCAATCACTGAACTAGCATTCTCAGAGCACGAACGTAGTCGAGTTCCATAGCCGTATTGTCAAGAGCAAGAAGCAAATCACCTTCTACATCAGCGGCATCGGCACGCACAACCCATCGCCCGTAGGACGCCTACTTGACATGGCGTTTGCGAAGTGAGTTCATAAATGATTCTCTAATATAGTAATCCTGACCCGGTTCCTGATAGTTCATTCGAAACGAACATACTGATAGCATATAAGTGGCTGGCGGAGAATTATGAGGAAGGAGATCGAATATTTATGTTTGGTGAGTAAGCTTGGGGGCATGATGAGCGGTAACAATTGCTAAGCTACCGCAGGCTTCTCTCGGGGAGCATACCAAGTCCGCGTCATTGCAGGAATGATTGAAAGGGTAAGGAATAGCATCACCTCTGTCGTCCAACTGCTCGCTGATTTTGAAATAGGTCGGACTAATCTACCCAGGAAGTACTGCCCAACTCCCTGAGTATGTGCTTTTGCCTAAGATGAACTCGTGTCTGACATATCACGTCCTAGCGTGTTCAAACTCTATATGTCGACAACGGAAAGATCAACCAATACCAAAACCAAGAAATACGAGAAGGCAATGGTATTATGCAGAACATTCAAGAAGGCATTCTCACAGCGCGATGTCAAGGTCCATTTTGTCGGCGTCTGGTGAGATACTATTTTTCTACCACCGTAAAGGTCCTTACCCAGCAATTGTAGGGATACGGTCTCATCGATTGGTGTTACAGGGAGGGCGAGTCTCCCGGAGACCGTCTCAGGGATGTCCCATGTGTGTCACTTTCGCCATGCCCTTGCGCTCGATGAGCGGCGGGTCAGGTTCTGGCCTGAACCAATAGTCCATGTAGATACATTATAATACCTATAGTATCCTCCTGACCATCGCATTATTATTCGTGGCTGAGTGAGACCCCAGTGGCCAACATTATAAGGTACATTGTAATTCCCCCTACCGCTCATACCCTGCCCTCTGGCCTTCCCTATTGGCATATTATAATTCCTCCCCGCATACCCCCATCTCATATTATAATTCCCTGTTCTCGGTTTATAATCCCCCCTCGTGCACACCACCGACCCCACCATCCCTGCATTATAATCTCCCCTACTTTTACTGTCCCCGCATTATAATCCTAGTTCATTTCCACTCGCAGATTATAATTCTGCCTTGCGCGCCGCCCCGTACGCGTATTATAATTCCGCCATTGCAAGATTATAATTCCGCCTTGCGTGCCCATTTGTCCTCCCATTGATAGAACATCCTCATACATTATAATGGCAAGTAGCTTGTACATTGTAGACTATATACGAACAAGAATCCCCAAGGTTTCTTCTCTTTACAAATCTTCGTTCTCCTCCTCGCTACCCTCGTCCTCTAGATCCAGCTCGACCACCAAAGGGGGGACTACGATGTTATTCTCCGTTTGATTCAGCGTCGAAGTAACGACCAACGATGCGCGATCACGAATGGCGCACCACTTGCTCTCCCATTGTGCAGCTCGGCGTCGTTCATAGTTGGCCTGACGGTGTGCGTATGCTCTCCCCCCCTCTTGCACCGAGGCGTCGTCTGACAATTTTATGTGTGATACGTTCTCCCAATGTTCAGCTTTCCAGCAGCAGTAGGCGATGGCGCGGCGCATTTCTTCTTCAAGTAACAGGACTTCCTCCCGCCATCTCTCCGCTCGAGCACGAGCTTTAACCCATTCGACACGAAGACCTAAGTAGAGCCATAAGTATAAGTTGCGAATCTCTAATCAAGACTTACAGGCCTGAACCTCGCCGGGATCTGAGAGTTCCTCATCGCTAACCGTGTACCAAATCCATGACAGTGTTCGCCTCCCTTCGCCAAGGGCAAGGCTGCGATTGAATGCCATTGTCGGTACGTTTTCTGATCCGCTCACAAGGCCCTGACCGTTCAATTCACTCTGGACCGACTCCGGTGACATTCCAGCCAGCATTCGAGTGCGTTTGTATTCTTCTTGTTCCTCCGCCGTAAGTGTCCTCTCATTGATGCCGCGGATATCTTCAGGAAGCAATGGACGGAGGGATGATTCCCAATCCCCAGGGCCTTGAAGCGAAAGCAAGGCTTCACGCGCCATCATGTATTGCACTCGAATCGCCTTGATCCGAACTTCAATTTGGTTCTGAAGAAGACGGCTCCGGGTGTAGGCACCTTGTGAGTGAACATTTCGAGTCTTGTAACTGTGGGCGAACGATCGTGTTCGTAACTGACGCCGGAGTTTAGTCAGTGCCTCCGTGGCTTGCGCAAATCGAAGCCGGTTTTCTAAATGACTAAGTTCTGACGGACATATGCTGGCTCGCTGATCGACGGAAAAGAAGGACGGCAGATATAACAGGATGGATTCGGGAGTCGCAGTAGCACTAACATTCGGTATCGACTTGAGATAATCTTGTAGTCCAGGCATGTATGTAGTTTGAATATCGCGGAACTTCTTGACGCGCTTGAGCAAGCTGGTTCGGCTGGTCTGGAGCTGTGTTGCCTCTACTGTTGTGAGATCAGTTTTGGCCGAGATAGCCAGAAGCTCCTGCCTGAGAATAAGCATGGTTAGCGCATTTGTCGTCCGTTGAATCGAAGCACTTACTGGCTTTCTTCGATGTCAAGTCCTGATATTAGAAAGGCGCTTGGGCTGGCGTCACCAAGCACCGTTCCTCCTCGCTCAACAGCGCGGTGTTCTTCCTCCGCCATCGCTTTCTTCACATCAGACATGCACAACTCTGGGCAAAATCAATTCAGTAGACGTCTTGAGATCTGAGATTGAAGGTAAACTTACCGTTCCGCGGAATGTCGAAGGGGCATGGATTGGATTGATCCGACTCCCATGCGCGTACCTGGCCCTCCCATTGGCACAGCTCGTCCAGATGGTGTTCCCGAAGACCGCTGGTAAACGCGCTAAATGCTTGATGGTGAATAACTGCTTGCGCGATCGCAAGAGTCATTTTCCCCAACAAAGAATTCCCTGCATATAAAGTTAACCGATGGAAACATAGTAAAATAAACAGTAGCGCTTACCTAAATTTACCGTTTTACGCCAATTCCAGAAGTTGCAAAAGTCGTCGAGTGTGTCCTGGCGTCCTCCCGGTCCCATCATGGAGACTGAGTGGGCAACTTTGTTCAGCCACGACCACATTCGTTCCACCCCTTCTCCGTCAGTTCGACTGACCCATTTAGTATAGTTCAATGAAAACGGTGCATGGCAGCTCTCTTTGTGCGCCTCGAGGTGGAATTTTGCAATGCGAAAGCGAAGATCGATTGATCGGGACAGATGAAGATGCGAGGGAAGGCGACCCATTCGGGCAAAAAAATGTCGGAACCATTAACATGCGATGTCGTATGTAATGGTGATGAGAAGTAGTGAAGTCGTGGCTACGCTAGAAAGAAAAATATAGTCCATGTTTGCATATCGCTCGCCCTTTTGCAGATCGCCGATTCCATTTGGTCTGAACATATCGCTGCGTGCACAACTGACTGAGCCGATTCCAGTCGCTCGAAGGCCCTTTGATCGTCGAGTATTCGCTGACCAAAGAGCCGCAAAACCAACACAATGATTGATCTATATTTTGTAAGAACATTTCATTTGCAAGTTTATCTATTACTCACCTCCTCCTGGTCAACGTAACTGGATAGATGTGCAAAGTACGGCTCCTCGCTGACGAATGTGGCCCAACCTGGGCCGAGGGCAGGATCTCGATTGTCAGTTGAGCGCAAACGATTCTTCTGCTTGAAGTTCGCATCCTCCTGTAACAGAAGGCCGTATAACCACCTACTAAAATGAATATTCGTGGCAAATCAAAGGTAAGTAGTATGTACCGAATATCGGGTGGCGCTTGCTCCCATCCCTCAGGGAGATTAATTCCGGGATGGGGACACGATCTGCAGGGTACGGCTAATTCCCCTTGGCCTGTATTGTGTAAACCAGTCGGATCGTTCCCGCGCCCAGCTCGCTTTGCCATCCGAATGTGTCGCCACTCCCGTACCGTGAGCATGAACTGCTGAAGGCGGTCCTACAGATGGTATAAGTTAAAGCAACCATAACAGCAGTACATACTTACCGGTGGCGGAAATAGGCCATCTCCATTATGTAACTGCTCAAGAGCACGGTAGAAATTGGTGGAAGGGATGCACCCTTGAAGGTTGAGGTTATGGAATAGTCTTAAAAGTTGGAACGTGGTCGCAGTTTGAGGTTCTAATGGAGACGACGGCCACCAACCGACCTCCAGAAGCTGCTCGTATGGTTCAATCGCATCGGGACATCCACAGAAGTCGACGTTCAGCAGGTGGATCCCGTTGTCATGAATGACAACGAAGTCAACGTGGCCACGCTTGACCATTGGGCACCCAACCGTTCTAGGATGACCGAGCTGGAGTCTCAGCCCAAGTTCACGCAGTGTATATTTTTCAAAATAATCATCGGTCCACCTCTGAAACGAGTGATCAGTAATGAACCAGTTCAAGAATAGAAATAGAAATTACTTCGATGAAATGTAAAGGCTCATTTTGATGGAGCTCGAGCATGCATTGGCTACAATATAGCCAGGACCCATGACAGTCAAGACATCGATAGCATGGGTCCGGGTCCCCGCAAGCAGTACATCCATGTATATTGTGTCGGCCTCGTCCTTCGAGAATCAGAGTTGCTTCAAGATATTTTTGCCTGTATTTTGCTTTCCATGTTAGAAGTGGTGCGTCCTATGATAATAAGTAGGGATTGCGCCGCAAACAGGCCACAGTGCACGAAACATACCGTATTAAGGTATCTTTTTGGCTTCGCCTTGACGACTAGCCCCGAGGTGTCTGGCAAAGTAGCCTCATCTACCACCGATCCCATATCTCCACCTGTGAAAGCTTCATTTGAAGGCCCGAGGTCAAACTCAAGACTTGGAGTGCTTGGCAGTGGCGGCGGCGCGACTTCTTCCGTAGCATCTGGTGCTTCAATGAAGGTGTGTTGAAGGCGGGTCTGAGTTGCTCTTGTTGCAACGAATGTACGTGTGTCGGGTTCATGCACGTAGATCCGACGCTTTTTCTTTTCTTTGCCCATCGATGTGTTGGTTAGATGTGGGAGCACCGGCTCGATGTGGAAGTGCTATGTTCAACTTCCGAAAACAATGACAAACATATGAATCGACGGTGGAAGACATCAAACTAGTATACGTATGTACATGTACATACAAGTTTTAAGCGGGACAACATTACTCTAGGGGATTATGATCAACACAGGTAGGTTTATGAGAAAGGCGACGTCGAGTTGAAGAGAACTATAAGCGAAATTGAATAAGTTGAGCATTATGGTCGACGATAGACCTACAGTACGTTGGTGGGGAAGAATCTTTGGCCTAATGACAGCTGCATCAAGCAGTTCTCGGCGCCGTTTGCTACCACTGGGCCGAGGGAGTAGGCCCCGTTTGAAATAAGCAGCAGTAGGGTCATGTCGTTGGGGGCCTTGGTTTATGTGGTTGGACTCGGAGGCCCTGCGGATGGTAATGGATGAGGGTTCGTCCAGCAATGCCGATTCACTTGGTGGGTCGACAACGAGTATCTCCTTCATTTTTTCACGTAGAACCTTGGAGGGATGAGTAAATGAGCGCGCAAATGAATGGATCGCACCTTGACCATTCGGCGTTGTATATATATCTGAATATCGGACCCCGCTGTTAGGTATTCCATCTCCTTGAAGTGTTCAATCCAGGCAGAAAAGAACTCGTCCATAAATGTGTCGACGGTGCCCAGGAGTTCGGCCTTCCTGAACATGGTTGAATGCTCATGTAAAAATGCTGTTTTTGGGGGGGTAAAAACAATCTGCATCACACTGTGAGTATTATTGTCGTCTGATAGGTGAACATACCATTGATGCAAGACGGAAGGAAAGAGAGAGGGTGCAGACGTAACGCAAAGCTTGAAGCAAGAGGCGAGTAAGTTTATATGAGACAAAGGGTACTGGGAGGAAGACCATATGCTGGATATGTGTTTCCTCGTCGCAAGGATTTCCAGCAGGTTCATTGAATGGATGAAGGTGGTTGGAGGACGATAGGACAACATGTTGCAATGGCGTCCGTTACCGTCGATGTCAAGTCTACATCCGTTGGGCGCCAATGGTTGGAACATGAAATGTTTGGCTACGTCACTTCAAGCAAACAGTTCAGTGTCGAACACAAGAACAAAAGATTCTGTTATATTGGTGCTCCTGTAATATTTCAGCATAATCAGAACCTTGATCTCGAGTATCCATTGATACTAGTTGGCCGATCTCTTATATTTGAGCCCGATCGTGTTTAGAATAATCTGATTGAAAAGGTCAGACTGTTAGCCATAGTGAAACGGCATGAACTTGCACTTATCTACTACTTTCAATGCCTCGATCTCGTATTTATCACACCAAGGCTGAGCGCAAGGCTGCCAACCGAGCCAAGAGTGCCCGACATTATGCAAAGTATGTTACCAACCAATACCCAATAGCTTGAACCTAATGAGACGTAGAAACAAGGTGGACATCCTGGCTAGGCGGCACAATGTTCGGGCGCACCTTGAGTATACCATAATCATTTACATTCTGTGAAACTTGTATGTTAACTCCCTGTCTCTTCTCATACTTAGTGAGGACGCAACACAAGCATTAACCACTCAAACCGGGCCTCAGATAGCATCCCCGGAGACCGATGTTTCATGGAATATCAATCGCGTTCAGCAAATATCCCGCGAGTTGAACTCGTTTATCAACAACTCCCCATCCGCCTTTGCGAACATTGTCTACATGGACTACATTAAGATCCTCGAAACCGGCACAGACGATCTAACCATCATTGAAGTACCGCTGGGAAGAATCATGAAATGGCAACAACAAATCGATAAATGTGGAAACGTCATACTGCAAGAGTGTGGTGCAGGCAAGGAGATGGAATCCCTCGGTGCCGTACGCATAATCGCAAGTATTGCAATCGACTATTTGCAGGACACCCTATGTGAGGCTATGTCGGATCCTACAGCCATGCAGGAGGCGTACAAACGCGGGAGGCTCAACTTTCAGAGGTAGTGTAGTATTCATACAATGCCATTGCGAGCAATATTCAAAACAAATATTATTACGGACAGCGAGTCTCTGATATCGTAGGGAAATGTTCGAAGAGTAAGTGCGAACAACACGGGGGTGTTCCAACGAGGTGAAAGACATGGGGGAGTATTTGAATGGCTGGTAGAAAGGTTGGGGGCGAATCCCGCTTGCCTCGTTACATTGACGAGATGATCCTCAACAACTAAGAACTAAGCAATTAGAATTGGTCGATGAATTTACAGTCCGCTCACCATGCTGGTATATTGTGTCGCAAGTGCAGATCGAGCAATTGAAATGCTTGCGGGAGAGTTCTGATCCTAAAAGCTAGGGCGACGTTTGTTCAGGCAAAGTTGAGCTGTAAAAGTTTATCAGCTCCACCGTTTGCATTATAATTCACCGCAAATCGTGGACGCACCGGGCAAAACAGAATATCCTCCTCCCCTCTCACTATCTCGCAACCGACACGTCCAGCCAACGATGCTAGTTAAAAAGGGCAAGAGTAAGAGCGGGAAGCCTCGCGGGCGAAGTACATGGGCAAAAGGAAGTAAACTTGAACTCTTACTATCCTTCGAAGACGAGTACCTTGCCACGGCCGACCCCGGAAGCGTCTACACCAGGATAACAGCAGCATTCTTGGAAAAATATGGATATGATCTTCCATTTGACGCTGAGCCGGCAGAGGATTTTGTCGCAGAGATACCTAATATCGCAGCCTTGCCGTATGAAGAACAAATCGAGGAGCAAACTCGTCGAGACGAAATCCATCAGAAGCTGCGGCTCGTAAGTGTGAATTAATGCTTGTATAAGAGACTTACCCCTCAACCAAATTAGAAAATCTCGAATTGGATGCGACATCGTTTCCGTCATAAACAATCCGATCAAGACATGGTAGCCGATATCTTGAATACCATGAGCTCCTTGACTGCGGAACGACCTCGACGACGGACGGCGATGAATATTTACTGGGCGGAAAATTATGCATCGAGGATTCGTGATGAATTTCGAAAGCACTGGAAGAGCGCCAATCTGACTGCGTCGTCTGATGTTCGCATGTCGATGTGCGCAGAATTCGTGAGGTCCAAGTACGACGACGAGACCGAAGAATTCCGAAAGAATCTTGAAAAGCGAGCCGATGCTGAGTACGCGCAGGCCATGGAAGATTACAATAAGCGTGATGCCCTGGACGGAAGTCCTGAAGCGTACGCCAGGTAGGTTCCATGGCTTAAAACTGTATGACAATGTTCAAATTTCAAATGTAGGGCCTGGGAGGAGTCAGATAACTTCTTACCTATCTTCGTCGATGCCATTGCAAAGAAATTCAGAATGAGTGTGTCGCTATTGCTGGTCGGGCCACTAGGGTCTGAACAAGGGAAGATTGGGATGAGAAGGTACGTGTATTGTCACATGGGCGTGAACTCCGAAGAAATCTCACGGTTGGTTTCAGTGTCCACTTCAACAATGCAGGCAGCATGACCTCGCTCATTTGGCCCCAGTATGACAAGACTGGCTTCACAAACATGCAGGCATCGCTCATTCGATATGGAGAGACAGTATTTTGTAAGTTTATTTATATCATATGTTCTACATGGATTCACTATAGCTCTCAGCGCCCGAAGAGCGCAAACGCCGCATCCCAATGTCTGAGGCGAACGATGCAGAACTCAACACTTCCCCTTCCTCGGGAGATATGGCCGTCCCAACGCCAGCACCTATCTCCCCAACCACGAGCAATGGACAGCTTGCAACGATATCGCAAGAAGAACCCTTGAACCTCATCGAGAACACCTTTCCATCTTTGACTCTGAATGTACCGATGGATTTCGGGGTGATGAACGCACCGGGCGAGTTCACAGCACTTTTGGGTCAAGAGTGGGATAATGACGCCCCGCTCTGGAATACGAACTTCCATCAGCCAGCCTACCATCTCCCCCTTCTACCCACACAGCCTCTCCCTCAATTCCCAGCTTCTAGAGACACCTTTCCGGCCATGGGTTCTCCGTCGACTCTGGCCATCACATCCGCCACACCAGCCGTAGGGATGCCAGCAAGTTCAACGGGAACCCCGCCACCCGTCCAACCTATCCTTCATTCAGCACTTCCTGCCAAGCTTGTCCCATCTTCGCCACCCACGACAGGTCCCGTCATGCCTACAACAGCAACTCTATTCCCGACGATTCACCCGGCCCCCATCACACCAACGATCCCCCCAATTTTGCCTTCGTTGGTGGCTCGATCTTCCACGATTCCCGTGGTTTCCACCGTATCAACGGTCACCCCAATTTTGCCTGTTCCAGCAACTCCATCCTCGACAATTTCCGCGGCCTCCACCATACCAACAATCCCCCCAATTCTGCCTACGACGGAGACTCCATCGTTAACGATTCACACAGCCTCCGCCATGCCAACGCCCTCTGCAATCTTGCCTGTAACTGTCCCTCTATCCTCAATGATGCATGAAGCATCCAGCACGCCAACGATCCCCCAAATTTTGTCTTCAGAAGTGTCCCTATCCCCAACGGCTCATGCGGGGTCCATGGCACCAACAAATCCCGCAATATCGCCTTCGGCGGCAACTCCAACTCCTACGACTCCCGTCGCATCTGCCTCACCAACGATTCCTACGACTCCTGTGGCATCTGCCCCGCCAACAATTCCTACAACTCCCGCGGCATCGATTCCAGCAGAACTCCCACCGCCAAGCTCTTCACCTACTGTCGTCACCCCAACGGTACCTTCTTCCTCCACGTCGACTCCAGCTGCTCCCGCTGTGACACCTGTGGCGGCGACTCTGTCTGCAGTTGCTGAGCCTTTAGCACCGCCCCCCGCCATCCCAGGGTCTCCCTCCGAGCCACTACTGGAGAAGGAGAACGTACCAGTTCCGCCAAAAAACAAGAAACGGGGGCGCAAGGAGCTTGCAGCAAACGAAGAACAGGTACCCCCTGCCCCGAAGAAACGTACACGGCAGAAGGCTTCAGCTGCCCCAGCCACAAGCCGGCCGCAGCGCGTCTCGAATTTACCTCCTCACCTGGCGGATGTGGGGTATGTTCCCCCATCAAAGGGAACACGGAAGCAGACCGTCAGTCAAAAGAAGAAATGAGCTTTCATTTGCTCTGTTGCCGTACCCTACTCGTATCATTTCTGTATATCCCACTTGCGCCGCCCCCATCTTGATCACAGTATTCCTATACTTCTTTCTCATGCCGTCTCCGTAAATCTTGCCCGCAGAATTCTTGTACTCTTCCCTCCACATAGTTTTTGATGTTCGTAGTTATGCGTTGTAATCCTATGTCTTGCTCGTTGCTTGTCCACCTTGCCCCGCCCCCTGTTTCAATACATATCACGTACCTTAGTGTTAGTAGTATTCAATTAATGTCAAGGTCGTTAACTTTAGTCCAAAATATGTCATGGGTGCGCAATATATTGATGGGGGTGTTATGAAGAAGCTAGACAGGCAGACAGATTTTTTGGCAACGCACCAGTGGGTGAATGTGGGAGTCTCCAGTTGCGACCAATGATAGTGCTGGCACTCGAGAATTGAACCGGCTATAGACATACCGGGCGCCGCTCACATCCGCCGGCTATTGCACGGGCGCCTGCAACTTGGATAATGGATTAGGTAAGCGAACCATGGGTGAGTGGAAACGAAAAATGAGAAGGAGGAAGACCGCGCGCACCACCATGTTTAGAGGCCTCCGGGTGCTAGATGACACATTCAGGGATTCCGTGGCATGAGTGGGCGGCGATACCAACCGTGCATAGTCATGGTTGGAGACGAAGAAGCAAATCGGTCACAGACCAACGACAAGACACTATTGCTGACAAAGCAAGGTTCAAAGCGGTGCAAGCGCTCTTTAATGTCACATGGATCCAGACTAAGTCTAGATGGCGCCGAACTTATACACTTAGAGGATGGAGTGTTTCGTGCACACGAATAACGACACGGCTACCATTATAATTCCGCTGGTCGGTGCGTAAGTCTCCCATGTTTGCATTGTAATTCGCTGAGACGTACCAGTATTATAATGCCAGGCAACGCCCGCATTCCCGCGCGCACATTTATAGTATGCCACCACAAAACGACGGACGGCATTGTAATGCATCTAATGGGGCACGTAAGTCTCCCATGCTCACATTGTAATTCACTGAGACGTACCAGCATTATAATGCCAGGCGACGCCCAACGCCCGCATTCCCGTGTGCACATTATAATACGCCGGACGGTGATGGCATTATAATGCATATAGCGGAGCAGGTAAGTATCCGGCGTTCACATTATAATTCACCCAGAAGTGCTGCCAGCGGCATTACAATGCGTACCCAGGCGGACGAGGCTACACTATAATGACATACCCCAGCCATTATAATACCGGGTACACGACTCTGAGAAGCCCATGAATTATAATGGTCGTCGCAGGAGAATCCACTGGCCATTATTAATGGCTTACATGGACACCTCCCTGAACATGCCCATGCAAGGAGTGTACCCACCACTGGCCAATTAACACCTTCCGGAGACGTCAAAGAAGTTTGGTTTGCCGGCAGCCATTCTGATATGTAAGCCTTTCCACATGTTGCGTGGAAATGACACTAACCACTATGTTAGCGGTGGCGGTAGTGTTGCCAACCCAGAATTAAAGAGATTCGGACCGGCGCTTCGATGGATGACCTACGAAGCAATGAACCATGGCCTTGAGATGGAATCATATGCAGGTCAATGGGAGTCACTGGTTTCGACGAAATCAAACTCACTCAAAGTTGCCTGGTGGACTCTTGAGTTGTTACCCTTGCGCCGCCCAGCATACAAGAGCAACAAAGTGACATGGATGTGAGTTATGTTTCTTCGTTCCTTTCCAGACAAGAAGTCTCACAAGCAAGCAAGACCTCACTTCGGTGCTCCTCGTTATATCCAAGAAGGCCAATACATTCATGAATCTGTGTTTACATTGATGGGGCTTGCGGAGGCGAAGGCCGGGTCTACTAATTCGCCTGGCGATCCGGCTCCTCCCCTTCGTCGCATCAATGAATTGGCAGCTTATGTGCCATACGCAGCACTCCCAAATACAGGCTCCTGGGACAATTATCAGTTTCTAGCCAGATTGGTGGAGCACGATCCATTTGCAAAGCTTGAATCGCTGATCAACAGAATTGACGAGGCTACAAAACAACGAAATCCGAGGTGGTTGCAATCAGAGATCACACTACTCGCCACAAGCATCCCCTCCAGTAAGCTCACATTGTGGATGTATGATCAACCCACTCAATGATTTCTATCGATCAGGGATTGGGGAGAATTCGTTTGCGTTGGTCGAGGTTGTCAATGTATTACCGAATCTGCTTTCTGCAGTCAGCTACTTGAGTGCTCAAGACAATGTTCATGATTCTGTCTTTGTTGCACTTTTCATGGCACTGGCTTCGCTTTCATCCGATCCCAAGCACAAGCTCCCATTATCCATCTTTCGCAACATTTCTCGTAAGGTCCAGGGCACTTTAAAGTATTATGCGCAACTTATTGGTCGCCACGCTTATGGTCAGGCCATCTATATGCCTCTATTCTATTTGGTGCTGAAATATCTTCGTGTAGGATTTCTCCAAGCCTCTTATGCATCACACAAAGGCGACTGGATCAAGGCTGTTGCCATCCCGGCTACTGGCAGAGTTTTGTCTGCATCCAGTGCAACAGTAGTGGTTTGGACTGATGAAGCCGAGAGATCCATCAACATTGGCAATCAACAGTATATTTCATTCCAAGCAAATGGATCAAAATTCGTGACAGGTGACAACGACGGAAAGGTCAAAATATGGGATGTCGAATTGGGGAAGAAGCTACGGACTTTGGAAGGTCCCTCTGGCACTATTTGGTCTTTCGCTTTCTCACCAGATGGCAGCAAGATGGCAGCGGGATCGTGGGATGCCACAATTCGAGTATGGGATACGAAGATGGGGCAAGGTCTGCTTGGTGTGATGGAAGGACACACCAGCCTTGTCACAGCATTGGCTTTCTCCCCTGATGGAACTCGCCTCGTATCCGGGTCCTACGACGATACTGTTCGGCTGTGGGATGAAGCGGGGAAGTCCAAGGTGCTTGAAGGGCACAATGGTCCAGTATTTTCTCTTTCGTTCTCAAAAGACTACATCATCTCCGAATTATGGGACAAGACAATACAAGTATGGAATGCCGGTTCTGGTGATATGGTGAGAGTGCTACGAGGGCACACCAACTTGGTCCGTTGCGTGGCCTTCTCACCAGACTTCAAACTCATCACCTCAGGCTCTAATGATTGTACTGCTCGTCTGTGGGATGTATCTTCTGGGGAGGTATTGGCCATCTATGATGTTGGAGAGCCGGTAATGTCTATTGCTTTTTCCTTTGATGGGAAGCTGATTGTGACGGGTTCATGGTATGGCAAAGTACATGTTTGGAATGCTGATGTATTATTGTAGCTTATATGGAGACTTGTAGCACGTCTGGATCTCTGCCTTATTGTACGATATTCATCACCGAGTACACTTGCTTAAATTTGGAAAAGGTCTCAGTAAACACTTATAATTCTGTGAGAATACATGATGGGGAGGAATTCCACACACGAGATAGACGAATCGAGGGAGAAACATAGCGAACAAAAGTCAAGAGATAAGAGAACAATCACAGTAGCAGAAGCCTAGTTGAGTCGTTCGTTGACATTGAATTCAGGCACAACTTTGCCGTGTCCCATGATGTAACTACAGCAAGGACTAGCCTTCCCCTTCAACTCTCTCCTGTTGGTACGGTCGAGCGCTACTTATGCTTCACTATTATTTCATTCTCGCATCTTCACCTTTCCTTCTCTTCACGGTGTGCGATTTGGTCGTGTAGGACTGCAACGAAAGGAAGCGACAGCGGGGGAGGCAAGCGATGATCTGTAGCGAGAGGGGTATTGAGCGAATTTGATGGCGGTAGGTAGAGTAGATGCCTACCTGATTTGACGCAATCAGAGGGCCACGTTCGGCGGTGATGATGAACAATGGGGCCAAGCGAGTGTGGAAATGAAGCATAGCTGCGTGGTATACGCATTACACTCATTGGGGTCCATCACTCTGTAATTCTGAGAATTTTCGCAACGGGGCGTGGATTGCATGCAGGTCGCGTGCGAGGAATGCGGGATCGTGGCGAAGTGGTGACTCGTGAGAGGGTCCGAAGCAGGAACCTAGCTGCAGGAGGATTGAGCCTATGATCTAGTAGCTCATGAGATTCAGGGGAATCGACCACAAGGCAACCATTCTCACCTTATTGAAACGAAAAGTCGAGACTCGTGGGGAGTGAGCATGCATTTAAAAGCAGTCTGACCCATCTTTCGCCGTTAATGAGCTGTGTGATGATAAGGTGAGACGAACGACTGATAAAATAACGCGGGAGCCAACCCACTATAGATGTAGACGAATGGCGAAGTATTTGGCGGATTTCATGACGGCGTAAAGTGGGAGTGTCTGGCGAGGCCTCTGCATAAGTGTCCATGGTAGCGAGGTGCCTTGTCATCCTACGTCGTGATCTCGTCGTCCTGGTCTCGCATTCACACAGAATGTTCGCTCATCACCGAAACCAGCAAAGCCACCCACATCTCTGGTGCAGAGCTCAACGCGCTGGCAACAGTGATCAGCGACAGCGCTAAGTGTCGGGATTCTCTAAGTTGCGTAGTAAATCCGATAAAGTAGTAGGAATACCTTCGTTGAAACGAGTCATCAGAGTACCCGTGGGCTACATACTCGACGACCAGGTGGTCAAGGTAGCCTTCTGGGACTTCGACCGTAGTGATCCACGATTTATCGGAGAATACTACTATCACCCCGAAAACAGCGAGACTAGAAGTGAGGCAAAAGTTGAATACTCGCTATCCTCAAGCCTGAGACCTTCCATAGGATGCTGCCAAAGATCGAGATGTTCCGATAGGGCAAGGTCGTTCATGGAGGATAAGGAGAGAAGAACACAGGCTACTCACCGTCAAGGTCGATTTACCGCGATCATCGCAGATATTGTGGAGGTCGCCAACGTCTCCTCATTTTCTGACTCCGCGAATACGTTGGAAGTGGCTGGTATAGCATCCCGTGCGCGTATCATGGAACGAAGCTGAATCGGCGGTGGAGGAGAACACTACAAGTTTGTTGGCGCCTATGTTCATTGGTTCAATGAGACATAATAGGGGCGCTGCGTGATCGTGTGTCACTGACAGTGTCTTCTCCCATTCTACAACGACACATCAACAATTCGCAAGCCCAAGGAGGAGTAGAGGCAAGGAGGTTCGATCTACCGTACGTCCTCTGCATTTCTCTGGGGTGTCTGACTTTGACTCATTGTTTGCAGATTAGCATCGCTCTTCTCAGAGCGCAGCATGTCAATACGCACCAGGCTAGAATATACAGCATCATTGTCATCACGAAGTCCTTTCCCGCAGCCAGGACATCAATGCATCATGCCTCCGTCGAACTGGGACCAGGAAACGGACGTGGGTGGAGTTCTTTGAAATTGTTGGGCGATCGTGAGGTTTCAATTTTGCTGATATCTTCTTCGTTGACCAGATACACCCTGGAGTTTACCTCCGAAGCTTAGCTTTTGTGCACTCGATGTAACCCGGAACTGGGATGTTTTCGTCATGTCAAATCAACCCTTTCGCCTCTCTGACCCATTCCTCGCTGTAACTATGCCTCCTGCCTCGTGGTTACAGTGAGTTGTTTTCCAATTCCGGCGCACCCTCCTCTTCTCACCTTCTGACTGCGCACGCAGGCCAAGGCCACTCGACATCCTTCTCCCGTAAGTCTTCTCCCCGCCAGACCATCAAGACTTTCCGCTCCTCGACTTGACCGGCCTACAAATTGGCTTGAGTGGCGCCGAGACAGGCTCGCAAAGCCTCGGTGGATAGACTGAGGTACTGCGGGAGTGCGCGACTGGGTGAGTCGGGACGTTTTTTGATTAGAATTGTGTTCACCAATCATTCGCACTGTGTAGGTACCGCCCGCGCCCTCTGAGTCAACGAGTGAGTAAAGCCGATCCAACATATCTCTCGACTGCAAATTCCGACTCCGTGCTCGGTCTCTGCCATTCTCTCGACAAGCCTGATCCCGAGAAGTAACTTGCGCGTTGTTGAAGACTGTGACGGCGTGCTGCGGAAGAAACGAGGTCATATCAGTCGCTGACTTGACTGAGTTCTACTCCGAGCATATTCGTGGATCTGCCCCCCCAACCAGTGCAGAGCACGTAACAGGGTAGCGGAAATGGCCCAAATGTCTTCAACGGCTCTGCGACGTTCTCCACTCGCTATGGCCCCACCTAGAAACATGGAATACATATGTCGCGGCGATAATAAGCGGAGCGAGTTGCCAAATTGGCCCCAAATGGCTGCTCGTCGACGGTCAAAGATTCTGGTACGAACTTTGCTAAATCATCAATAGTCTACCTCCTGCTCTTGGGACTTTATCATTCATGTATCTCATCATTTACGACCACTGAGCCTCATGCCACGCCATGGACAATAATTCATAGTCCTCGTTAAATATAACATATAAACTGACTGGTGTGAAATATGCGACAGCTGAGTACAACGGTCAAAGGAGACCCGACTCGAATTATTCCTCCACATTCACGAATACAGACCGGCTTCGAAGTCGCAACCGTCCAGGGCATGCATTGAGGTATGGTTGATATCGAAAGTTGGTGAGACTTGCGTAGAGTCTGGTACTGTCAGCGTACCTTTGATATGTTGAGTCGTGGGGGCACATCTCCAGCGTGAGGACCCTTAACAAGTCGCGCGTGGACTATCACGAGTCGTATGATATAAATGTAGTTACGCTGTGCTTCGCGCGTGCGGGGTGTGTGGATCCGGGTTCTATTAGTACCTATAATGATAAGTTAGTACGGGTCGCAGAAGTACTGTCACGTAACATACTCTGCCTCGAGAAACTGTCCCGCTCGCTGCGGTCTGACTCGTAGTGCCTGATAGACCCTCAACTCTGGTTGTCTTCACAGTCCAAGTTGTTGACAATAAGAGGCCACGTTCTTGGCCAGGTAACCAGTTCCTCAGCATCACAGAGTGTAGAGTGTAAGAGCGAATGAATCTGAGGGCCAGACCCATGTCGACTTCACCTTGTGTCTGTGCTGTTCTTAAACCGGGACGAAGACGAAGGAAAGATCCACGGACCTGATGACTGCCTCAGAAGAATTTCCGTTTTCTTTCCTTTTCTCGCCTCGCCCCATGATACTAAATTTCCGCCGTTCATCTATAGCCTGCGCACTTCAGGATGTCTAGACGCACCCATATCGACTCTCTCTTTCGTCCTGGACTGCACTGCTACGACTCAAGTACAGGACCTCGCGACAAGCGAATTGAAGACCTACCAGCACACGAGCCTTCGTAATGAGGCCGACTTCTACCATGTTGGAAAGATCGGGAGTTTTGGATGAAGATGCGAGTGGCAAGTACGCAATGGTCTTCGCGACGATACCCCGTGGCTACGCACGACGAGTAGCGACTCCACTGAGGCGCTTCAAGCCCGGTCCGGTCACACGTGCCACGGTGGCGCCGGCCCGTTCCATCCACTCGAAGCCACAGTTTACTTTGTCGCCACCCGCAGATGGTGACAGTGCGACGTGCCTGATGCACTACTCCCCGAACCCAGGGGATCAATCCGCTCGTTGAATACCCACATTCATCACCAGAGTATCCTCCATGGTGGCTCGTGTTAGTTAGCGTGGACGATATGCATACACGAGTGTGACCCCAGCCATGAGGACGGTATTCTCCGTTGTCGAATTCCGCACGTCCCCACAAATCAACGTCCCTGCGAAGCCAACATCAATGTGCAGGCTATCCCTATTCCGGATGATCATCACTCTCCGAAGACATTCCCTCCCTCAGAGCCTCCTCCCCAAACGCACCTCCCGTCTATTCTAAATTTGATGTCACGGCCCAGAACCGGATGTGTCAACCACCATGGCGCGATGTCTTCGAACGGCGAGCCGTCTTCGGCCTTCGTGGTCAAAGAAGTGCAACCTTCTGCAAACAACGAGAGACTGCGTAGTTCTGGTGGCACGTCGGGATGACGCATCACACGAAGAACAGCGCATATTGTGCTATTGCTCTGGCCGCGTACCACGACTGCAACCTGGTTTCGCCTGCCCCGTGGGTGGTGGAAGCTTCACCGCGCCATCCCTTGTGCCGCTGCCCTTCACTGCGTGGCATCTTTGAATACATCTCGTCATCGCTGCGCGTGTCTTCCGCCTCAGTCGCCATCTCCTTCGTGGCGCTACACAAGCAGTACCGAACCCACGGATACGATATCCCCTTCACCTATCAAGACATCCCGGGCCGCTGCTCCTCATCGAAACTCCCCGAGCCCCCATCGCGGGTGTACGTGCAGCATGGACGCACGAACCAACTATGTTGCATACTTTTATGCAAGGGTCACGTCCTGAT